CGGAAAATTAAGAAAACTGTCATGAAGAAGCACTCTGCCACCATCAAAAGACCTTCAGCCAGCTCCAGTACTGTCATGAAGAAGCCCTCTGGTGCCTGCAAACGACCTGCTGGAAATAAAAGGTTTAAGCCGCACTCACAGAAGAAGACTCCAGATGCTATGTCTTTCTACAAGAAGTACAAGTATGTGGTTGAAGTTGATGAGTCTCATTTGAACAAGTTGCGAAGCGGTGCTCTGACAAAAAGTTGCCGCGCAGAAACTGATCAGGTTTGGGTGTGGGGTGCTACCGTTCCCGGCAGGCCAGAACGTTTCATATTTCGTGTCTTGGATCACCCACAAGATGCTATGGATGGCAAGCCTCGAGGTCAGGCTGAGATTCTTGATTGCCTTCGCCTTCTCAACCTGCAACCCAAGACCATCATTGTGACCGATGGATGGAAGGCAACGATAGCGGCTATCAAAGATCTAAGAAAAGAAAAGGGGTGGACTAATGCAGATTTGTGGCATGAAATCGTGAACCATAGCGCAGGAGAAATCACCAATTCCAATGGATTCACTACGAATCACATTGAAAACCGTTGGTCACTTGTAAAAAGATGGATTCGCAAGCGTGAAGGTGGCCGCTTGCCTTCACACAGCAACCGCCAAAGGTGGAAATGCCTTTTAAATGAATATCGGTGGCGAAAAATGCACACCAAAGGTAGCAAACATGTCTACGTAGTGCCCTTGACCACCACAATGGAAGCCATGCAGCGCGTGCACCAGCTCTAGCCTAATGCTCACAAAAGCTTTGGAAAAAAGAAAACCTTTTCCTTTACATCTGGACGGTTTGTGTTTGCTTGCTGTTCACTTGCTTCTGTCTTGCCGGCAAGTCACACGCATATGTTTGTGAGACACACACACACATATATATATATGGCTATATATGGATAACCATTTTATGGTTTACTAAAATCCTTTTTGGAGATTTCTTGTTGTCGACACTGAGCTTGTTGCACGTGCAACTTGTGTGCATATATTCTGTAGGCATTTCCCCTCAGCATAGTCATTGCTTCGTACTCAGACTCTTTAATACTGATAGATCATGCCGAAGTCTCCGCGCATGCAGCTCTCTGTGGAAGCCTACATGAACGAACGACAGCACATTACTTTGGAGCTCATGGGCAATGTGTCTCAAAGCGCTTCTTCAGAGCCTACTTCTTTTCCTGATGCAGCTGACATCGTGGAAAACATTCACAATGGAACCATTGCTGTGCATAGTGACAGGGCGGCAGTCACCAAAAAGCAAATTCAGATCCAAATCAACACCATCAGACGCAACGCAGTCAACCAGGGAACCCTGGCACAAGGTTCTGCTTGGTCGAGTCAATGCCAGACGGCGTTGATGTCTTGGTTACAAACCAAGAAAGATGGTCGTGCTCGCTCGGCATCAACTTCCCAAGGCAGTGTTCCAATGCTTGCTCTTCCTGCACCTGTTCCTCCTGCAGCAGATATGTCCATTGATGAGCACCAGGGCAATGGAGGTAATGGTTCTGATTCTACTTCTTCGGATTCATCATCGTCTTCTACATCAGATGAACAGGAGGCAACGCCAATGTCAACATCTGCACCCAAGGTTCCTTTGACCCAAGACGAACGCGTACTTCTTGAAGAATTGCTTGAAGCAGTCCATGTGCATCAAGACATTGAAGAAGAAAACGATCGTCTCCGGCATGAAAATGAACTTCTCAAGCAGGAACTTGCCCAACTGAAGCGCGCGCACTTCTTGTAGTTAGGAACTACTGTCTGACTGTCTGAGAAAATTAGTCAAAGCGCGCGCGGCCGAAACCATCACGGAACCGTTTTTGGCATACGCTCATATAGCATGTTTGTTGCTATTCTCACATGTTTTGTGACATTATGTGCCATTTATTGGTTTTTGATACGTGTTCTGTCATTTGTTTCAGTCATTTGTTCTGACACTTGCTCTGACATATATGTTCGGCTATTGTTTTGGCATCAAGTCTGTCATGTGCTCTGACATGTGATATGGCATAATGTCTGGCATGCGACGCTTCTTCTGCTCGCGGGTACAGGGTCTCTCGACCCGTACCTGACAGGCTGACCAGTGGACAATAGACTGAGCAGCTGGCATAGCAAGACGCTGGGCCACCTGCTGAAAGGCTGTACCAGTGCGCAGTCTGCGCAGGGCGCAAAAACTAACGAAAACAACTTGCAGACTGACTGACAACTATAGTATAGTAGGAAGATCTCCTCGACAAACGAATTACAGAGAAGAAGGACCAGTGACAGGACCCTTGGCAGACGGCGATCCACGAGACTCAATTGGTTTTCAGCATCCATCTATTACCTGGTTGGTGTTTTCAACCCACTTGAAAAATATATTAGTCAAAGGGTCCAATCATCCCCAAGTAAGAGTTGAACATAAAAATATCCGAAACCATCACCTAGTTACCCTACAGGAGAGAAGCAAGATTGAACTTGCACTTTGCCCTCCCCAAGCGACCAAGTGATCCCCGAGGCCCCGGGACAACACAACCAATACACTCCCTGGTGACGTGGAACATGGCCCCTTGGAAGACTACCTTCCTTTACAAACAGGTGGTTTTCCACTTTCATGTTCGAAACTTCACCTGCTCCGTGCTGGATATCTCCAGGCTACAAATCCATTTTGGAGCTGTTTCCAGCAGCCAGGTGCTTTTGATGCCATCCACGCTCCGTGTCTTGACGCCCGGCAAGAGTGTGGGGCTGACTGGCATCCAGGTGGACCAGCGATGGCCCAAGGATTCACAGCGCCCGTCGGACACCTCGGTGGCCCGTCACGCGGGGGTCACGAGTCCGACTGGTCATGTGAAGGGATTGGAACGAGGAATCAATGGGTTTAGGGTTTATAGGTGTTCAATGGTTTTCATGAATAACCCCCATCCAACCTCTCCATATGGGGGGGGCGTTATTTTATCAAGAGTCTACATGAATTCGGGGGAAGCCATGGGGGAATCCATGCCAATCTGGATGTTCTCCAGACCTGGGACCTGCGTGTGCCCCTGAGAAGCACCGGGAGCACAGGTGATCCCCGAAAGAAGTGAACCATGGCAATGAACATCCGATCCAGGGACGGAAACGAGTCACAGGTTTTGGCTATACGGACTGCTATACGGTAGGGATTGGTTGAGCAGCCCCTGGAAGGATTAAGGTCTTTGTGGTGTCATCCGGGGGGGAATTAGCATTGGGGCATGGGTTGGTCATGGGATTGAGGAAAGTGTATGTGGTGTTTGAATGTGTTTGAATGGTCCACACCCAAGCTCATCCCCTTAACTGCAGGGGTGGGTAGTGGCACGCCTGTTCCCCGGGAGCGACGCATCAAGAAAATGCGTCATGGCCACGCATGATACCTGGACCCGACTGACCCAGTACCTCAGAAAATGGGACATGACCCCATTCAAACAGGTACCCATTTTCCGAGGTACGAACTGAGACTCCAGTGGACCAAACTTCTAGCCATATCAGTTTGCATCCATCCTCCATGTCACTGAGCCAAGCTCCTGCCTCGACTCTCCATAGAGCCACAAATCCTAGAAACCTGTCTGGTTGGCTATTTGGAAGGTCCCAGGTCCCCGAGATGGACTCTGGGGATTGATTCTTGCTCCACAAAATAGGGATGGCCTGCGTGTAGAACACAGGAAAGAACACACCTCGCTTTATCAACCCAACCATCTAGAAGGTCAGCACCAAGCAAGGTCTAGAACCACCAAGAGACTTGTCCATAGAAGTGCCAAGAATTGCCTCGGCCCTTGGCTCCTGGCTTTTCTACCGCCCCGTCGTCCGTCGTCCGTCGCCCTAACAGGACCATCCTCGCCTCGGCTCCGGCCCCCCAAGAACGGCCTCCTCACCCTGATGCTGAGCAGCTGTTAGGTTGGTGATCGCCCTGTCCTCACCTTCATCGTCCACGTCCTCGTCGTCGTCGGCCCCGGCATCATGCCGCTGTCCGACCTCGTCCGTGTCCGGACGCAGTCGGCGCTGCAGCAGGCTCACTGGATCGGCAGGATCGTGTCCGTGGCAGTCGGAGGTGGAGGCCAGTGTCAGGAGGATGCGCGTGAGGCGCATGAAGATCATGGAGAGCAGCTCAGCACTGTCGCATGGCACGACCGTCTTGCAACCTGGGTTGAAAGACCCATACCCAGATGAAATGCTTGGATCTGCTTAGATCCTGATGACACCCTCCAAATCCCAGATTGTACTAGTTGCTTTGAGATGGTCAGCCCCATTTCAGCTTGGAGTTGTTCTTGGCCTCATGTCGTTCATGGTTCGGTCTCAGATCTTGAGCAGCTTCCGAACACGCAGCTTCACCAAGCGAACGACCGAACCAATTCGCGCAGCTTCGCCAAGCCCGGTGACGTCCGCGACGCCCGGTGATTGGGAACGATCACCGGAACCGGCACCGGTTCCCCGAGCCTCCACGTGTCGGTACAACATGGTACAAGGAAGCAACATCTGCAAGTCTTCCAGTCACAAGTGGCCCAGTCCATGGAAGTCGGTGAGACTATAACAAGATATAAAAAGAATGGTCTAACTGGGTGACACGAGTCTAGGAATGTCCTTTACTTCAGTCAGTCAGAATATAGTCGAACTGGACTGACAAAGGGCAGTCATTGTTGGGCCATCGGTTTGGATTGAACAACTACTTGTATGCGCTGGAGAAAAGTTGTCATGATACAAGCTCCGCGAAATGTAGCCGCTGGCGGAGTTTCACGCAAGAGAACAGCAGCCGTGATCGAAGAGAGACCGAGAGTCAAACTCTAATGGGTGATGGATCTGGATCCAACCCTCACACCTGACATGACAGTGTTGCTGAACCCCCTACTACCAGGCATTCTGCACTGGAGAGTCTACTTAGTCTATTCCAAGAAACACGACAATCCCCGTCACTGCCAAGAACAAAATCTGACAATCTGACCTTCTCCCAAAGCCTCTAAGCACCCCTTCGCTGCCCTTTTCCGCACCTGTGAAGCAAATCGCCACACATGAGATTCCAGCGACCTCGAAGAGAGAAGACTCGCGGCCGACGCGAAGACGAAGTCGACAGCGAGGCACAGGTTGGCGAACCCTGGTCACCCTCACTCCAAACCTTGCTCCTTTGAACAAAACATGGCTTCGGGACTCAGGAGATATGGTGAGATGATCTTGAGCTGCCAACTCTCGTAGGCACGGAGTCGTGGCGAGAGTATGTAGGCAGTAAAGAAGGCGAGAGACAATGCCAACCAGGTCTCACCCAGAGTTGTAATGATTGTATCTTGCCTTTTTCTAAGTGCATCTTTGAAGATGCTTCAAGGCTGGGAACAGCCTTCAAGGCTGGGACAGTGCCTCTTTTTTTCTTTTGTTTGGATATATTACCGTTCGCGGCGTCGCACGCCGCGGTTCGCGGCCCGTTGGCCCGGCACAGACGTTGGAACGCTGCAGGGTTCGCCTCCAAGGTCAGTGACCCTGAGGGTTTCTGTTTTTGGTTCGCCTGGAAAGGAAGGATGTCACACTTCAAACCCCCTCTTTAAAGGTCACAGGAGAAGGAGCAGGATGCTTTTTGGTTTTATAAGATCACAATCAAATGTCTGCGTCGCTGCGTCGCTGTAGCTTCTTGTTAGTAGCGATGGCCTCCAGGCCTCGACATGAGGCCTTTCGTGGTCCCACCCCGGTATCCGTCGTTCGGAGTCGAACTCGGTGTCAGGCCACTGCAAAGAGGCCGGATCTGGCGAGGGAGACTGTAAGAGGAGGTGTGGATGTGGAGTGCAGTGGATGATGGGTTTGATGTCCGATTTCAAGCCTGGTGGCCCAGGACCTTCAAAGAGAGATGATTTCAAGGGATGATGGTTGATTTCAAGTTTCCTACTCTCTGACTGGTCATGTTTCCTGCCCTCTGACCATCCATGGCTGGATCATGGTTGATGGTTGCGCAGCGCCATCTGCTAAGACAGGCACTGATGGATCCGTGTGGCCGTCCGGTCCTCCCCAAAGAAAGGCCGGAACTGAAACGGGCTCCTCCAAGTCCTTTTGAAAACCCCAGGAACTGGAGAAAGACCCATGGGTCTCGAGACCCATGGGTCATCCCATATGACTGCACAACCGGTGACACCGCTCAGAACTAAGGAGTTCATCCAGTTGATCTCAGAGGCTGGCAAGAACTACCCGGAACAGCCGGAGCCAGAAATGAAGAAAGGCAAGACTTTCATTGTTGTTTTTTTTGTATGTCTTCAACTTGTGGAAAGCACCACCTTCAAAAATTATTCTTACCCCAGTCCTGGCGAGGATTGTCCTGTGTGATTCCACTGTAACATGCTAGAAAATGTTATAAAATGATCCTTCCTCCGAGAAGTATGCTGGAAATATGGAACATGTTCCCCAAAATCTTGGCTCCACGGTTTTAACACCCCCTCCAACTGTGGGTTCGTTTTTCTTCGGTCCGGGCAAAACGTCAGTCATGTAGCAACGAGATCCGCGAGATCTGCGAGGTGAAAGGCATTGGGTTTGGGTGAGAAAGAATGAGGCCCAAGGAGACCTGAACACTGAAAGAATCTGAAGTGGAGAAAGAACCATGGGCCCAGCAATCCCCAGCCCACGCCCAAAGCCGGATCTGGGACAACGCCACCACACCTGGATCCAGGAGCTCTGTGCCACATGGCATTCCGCATGGCACGGCTGTTTGCACCCGAAGGATCAAAACATGTCAAAAGCTGCTGCAAAGAGGAGGAGAACCCCATGAAACTCTGGACTCGTCAGACCTTGCCATCCCATGCCGTCTATGCCGTGTGTGGAGGGGTGTCTTTTCACATAGGTCAACTATACATCCGTGTGATGTCTATAATGCAACTCTGTAGGATTTGGGGGCAAAGTCTGACCTTCTCGCCAGCTCGAGTGCCTGTTCTGAAGAACAGCTCCCGGGTACCCGGCAGCTGTCTCATTCTGGTGCACTCGTTGGACTGCTACGTTTTAAACACCGTGACGCTAATGACGGGTTTTGGGCTTCATAGAGTGTACGTTGATGTGAAAGTAAGCGGCGTGTTCGAACCGCCCCAGCAGGGCCCCTGCAAGCTTATTGGCTCCATGAGTTGGTGTGTTTCGGACCCACACACACTTGAGCCCAACGCGCCACCGGTGGAGGTCGGGAACGAAGCTAAGAAAGGACGAGTGACTATAGTGGATTTTCGCTGACCAAGCTGCATCCTTGCAGGCACTCGCCATCCTTGAGATGAAACGACATATGCATGACCAATGACATCATTGTCCCCAAAACCGTTGGACTTGGATATCTCGGATGACTATACCGTGGTCCATCCAGTCCATGCGATCCGGACAGCTCGATCCGGCAGCTCAGCAGCTCCTCGAGGTCAAACTCTCGACAGAAGAGCAAACGGATCCATCTCAGGAGGAAGACCTGAGGCTCAATCTCCAACCTCCACAGCACAGCTCGGCGCGAAGCCGGGTCGCGTGACCCCATGCGGACCCGCGTGGAAGGCGACCAAAAACCAAGTGACAAGACAACGCATCGGTGACTTGTGGACGCCCCTGGGTTTGGGAGCAAAACAGGTGTTCGATGGTTTGTGTTTTCATGTTAGATGAATTGGGGTGTAGTTGGTTTGAGAGGTTGGTTCTATAAATAGGTTTTTGGAGGGATTGCGCAAGGTGGACACGTATCATTTTCCACTACCAACAGGGGATTGTCCACTTCCATGTGTGTTTCAGGGCGTGTAAATCCACCGCAACACGTGTTTCGCCACAGTCCGAACTGTCCGAAAAGGTGGGTGAAGGTGTAGACAAGTGGAAACCATGCCTAACTGGGTGCGGTGCTTCGACCACTTTACGGACATCCAGGATCACCCCTCGCGCTCGATCCGAACAAAAGCGTCGTTTATCCGTCAAACTTTTTCCCACGATAAGGTTCGTTGGATCCCTCCCACACGTCAACCAACCATTTCGATGGGACATCAACCGTCAACATCAGCGTGATATCTGTGTCCCAAAACGAAACAACAAACAGACCACAGATTGATTTGCCATATTGTTGCGTGTAAAAACGAACAGGTGGTCTACTTACCAACATGTTTAGTTATCCCCGTCTGGTTTGAAATTGATAAAATCCCTGGGGCAATACCGTCAATACCGGTGTCAGGTTGCAAAACCCTGAGGCAAAATGTGCGTGTTGGAAGGGAACATCAAAAATATAATCTTATGCTGAGGTTTTATGGATGTCCTTGGACATGACAAAGGCTTTTGTAAAAGGGCAAGTGAAAAGGACCACACATTGTGAAGTTTCCTAATGTTTACCATTTGGGGGTGGTTGCCACAACGCATTGGTAATGCCCAAATCTAGTGAGGTAGGCGACTATTAACAGCCTCAGTGAATGTTATATCAAATATAGCTCTGACACAAATACAACACTGCTCAGACTGCTCAGACTGCCCACGTCCAGCCTACGCATTTGCAGAACAATTCCTCGGCCGTGACGACGGATCAGCCTCGCCTCTTCAAATGGTCGAAGAGGTCAGGCTGGACGCCACGGACGACCTGTCGGTCACGTGGGCGCGGGACTGTTGGGCTTTCACCAGGAATCAGATGAATATGAGGTCCATGTTACTATATCCAGACACTCCATGCATGGAATATTTAACATATGTACAATGGCCCCTCTTCAACCACCCCAATGGGACTGCAACTATGGCAGTCCCATGGACGTTGCGTCCAATGATAGACATAGCGGGAATAGAGCATTTTTGTTAGCTCATATTGTGAGCACGTGTGGCTTCGTGATGGAGCTTCTTGATAGGTTACACTTGTCGGGGTATAGGCCCATCTTCAGGGCATATCGATGGGGCATTCGTTCGTTAGGTTCCCCCTACCATGCCTATCCTGAACCTTGCTTGGTGCTTGCAAAAGTTTTTGCCAGCAAAACAGGCATCAGTCCTGGTCCATATGGATCTTGCCTTGCAACACAGCTAGGATAACACGGATATGCACGGATGGTATGTTCATAGATGGTACCACCAGTAGCTGCTAGCCAGTCCAACCCTTCTTCCACTCACCACCGGCGACGGAGGCCATGCAGCGCCCTGCCTGGTCGAAGATGAAGGAGCACCGCGCCAGGATCGCAGAGCCTGCTACGCGAGCAAACACGTGTGACTTGAACGGATCCTGGAAGGTGGATCGGACCCTCTATTGCCAACCATCTTTGAAAAAACAACTCATCTGACTTCCGTCCAAATAGCTCCTTTGGGTCCAGAGGAAATGACTTCCCCCTTTTTTCGGTCCAGTGGAAAGAAACTCTCTTTTTAAGGCGCAAAGGAAGGGCATTTCGGATGCTCTGGATGCCGTGTCCGACTTGTTTGGGGAATCGAATGCAGGTCCGGGTGAAACTGCCTGGTGAGTCCACCAGAAAGGCAGGCCGGCCGCCCGCGCGCGGTTCGTCGACTGATCAGAGTTGACCCCGTCGCAGGGAGTCGCGGCTCGCGAAGGCCGGCGCCTGAATCGGAGGCGCCTCCCCGGGAGCCTCGGCGCGGCGGAGGAGAGGTGGAACAGATCCTCCGCCAGGTGGAACATTCCCATGCGAATCGGATCTCCAAATCGAGGGGTGAAGAGACTGAGAAAGAGCCGCGATGGACAGGGAACCATCCGCTATATACCCCGTCGAAAACTCACATGGATCCTAAAATCACACTGGTGCAGCTAGAGGAAAAGAGTCGGACGACCCGGGTGCCATTCTCAGAATTCCAGTTTTGGGGAGTGTACGCAGTTTTGGGGAGATCCAATCATAACTCGAGGTCAGAAGCTATCCTGGCCAGAAGATCTTGGCAAGTCATGTTCAATCAAAAGAGATTTCAGAGGACATTTCACGTACCTGACCACCGAAGCCTTTACCAGCTTCCCGGGCAGCTGCGTGGGGTGACGGAAGTTGATCCACCATTAGTCATACAGTAAGCGAATGCATCGACCGAAACCCACATCCTACCGCTCCCTGGGACAACCTTTACCCCGAATCAGACCGTCCATCATCATCGTATAGGCCATCCATGGATCGCCTAGTTTGATGGATCGTCTTTTGGAAAGGAAGAATCATACCCCAACCCTCCAAGTACCGCCTCAAAAATCCCACCAATCCACGGAGCCAAACGTTCTTTCAAACGGACACCTTTCAGATCCTTCGATTCGTTCCGAACCCAAAAATACAACCAGGACATTGGACCAATGTTGTGAGAGTGTCTTTTTCCTCCTTTTCCTCCTTCTTGGCAACTCAAGAATGAAAAACGCGACCAAACCAAGCAACGGCCCAAACTTGAGAACATGAAATCCTTATGTTGGATGGTTGTAGCTCACCAGGCCGCGACCTCAAGCTGTGTATCGGTCGAACTACAAAGTATATACCTACAGTACCCAGCGCCGTAACCGGGTATTGTAGATTGTAGACGCTATCTCCCAACCCTGAACTAGTAATGTCCAAAACCGGGTTATTGCAAAAAAAAACTTTGCTTTGGCCATAGTCTGGAGCCCCTGGTATAGTAATTGTCACTCTCTTTCCAAGAATGCTCGGCTGTTCACCCCCCCCCGTGCGTACACCCCACCGGCCCGCCCCACCGATGTTCACAATACATCGCCCAGCAACGCGGCAGTTCGCCGATCGGCGAGCGCGCGGGGCGGCTCGCGGTGCTGTTCAGAAACATCGGTCGCAGCCTGCGGCGCGGTCTTCAGGTCGGGGGGTCTTCAGGTCGGAGGGATGGAGGAAGGGACGGAGTGGGCGCCCATCTTTGAACAGAATCCCCAGAGCGCAAGTTAAACTGGCAGAAAATACACCACCACCCAGCTAGGGTGGTCAGAAGGGTCTAATGAACCACCCGACCTGGGTGGTGCTGGCTCATACCATGTCACCATGCCCAGTAACTGGAAACCCCATCGGCTCCCACCGCTTTGAGTCCACGGTCGCCCAGTCCAAAACCAACCAGATCCTCTGGAAACAGTGCTTATAGATGGACAAGGTCTAACTCCCTTTGGAGGTGCTTGGAGCCCATTCCGGGCAATTCCAGTGCGTTCTAAATATCGGCAAAACACCTGGGCTCCCACCAAGCACCGACTTGAGACGAAGCATCGGAAGATCTCCGAAGCCACTGAGACCGAGACCGGCCAAACACTCCCAGGTATACCAGTGGCCCGGCCGGGTTTTTCCATTAAAAATAGAGGTTGCCACATCCAAAATCCATGTTTTTTTTCTCCTATAAGGACAGCCAGGTCGTCTCTCAAGGGGCCCCCCCCCGCGCTCAGCTCCCTCTGCAACGGCCGAGCCAACCCGCCCGGGACCTCGGCGCGTCCTGCGGGTCCACGGTCGCTCGCTCTGAGGTCGCCGGGCCCTTTGTCCATCAGGTGAACGAAGCATGCAAAGGTATCGGCCTGCGAAAGTGCAGAACGAAGCATGTTGAGAAAGTGTTGAGTGCTGCGATGTCTGAGAAACTGTCTCCAAAAGATGGACACAGTGGGGTCTTTAAACATGTTGTAGAAATGCCAGTGGCTAACGAGGTCCACCGACACAGGTGCAAATCCAAAACCAAAATGCCGAAGCAAGATGCGAAAAGGATCGAAGCACACAGGCGAATTGGGGATCGATCGAAATCGAAGCGGCCGCGCGCTTTTGCGCTCATTGAGCCCACCCTCTCCGAATGGTGCGAAGTCATCTCAACCGCATGTTACACAGCGTGTAATTCACACGG